ACACTCGAGCAGAATATTATTTGTAGCGAAACATATTTAAACAGTATTACGTATGAGAAGACCATTATTTGTAGACAGTTATTTGCAGGTTACATGGTGGGTTCATGGCCAATGAAAAGAAAGAAAAATCTGTATCGAATGATAATGGTAAATATCAACATGCAGACAGACTAGTTTTTTTTACATATGGATGGTACATCTACATATGGATGGTACAATGGCCTAATAGCTAGGGCATGGAACACAAGATCCAGAGTCTAGCAATCCTAATCAGTGGCGGATCTAGGGGAGGGGCACAGGGGTTCTGGCCCCCTCTTATTTTGGGTGAAAAAAGAAAATCGTGGAAGGAAGAAAAGACGGCAGGGCAAGCAAACCCTCCTCCCCCCTTAACTCAAGGTCTGGATCCACCACTGCTTATGTGAATGCTGGCCAGGGTCATTGTGTAGTGTTCTTTGGTGTGATGCTTTACTATCAGAGTCTCTCCCGGTACCCAGAAGTATAAATAGGACTGGTATAATTTGCCAATTTCTGTTCAATTAAGCAATCTCAATGAAGGCTAGACTAGTGTCCCATCCAGGGAGATAATAAGCAATACTCCTAGTCAACAGAGCTTTTACAATTATGTTCAAGCTGTTTTTTTTTCTCTGTTCCACGGCTTGGAAAAGACTTGAAGTCCAGCTTGGCTTTCGACAAGTCGCTCTCAAATGCTGCTTGCCCTATGCAAGTCGTGACAACAACCAACAACAACCAACAACAACCATTTATTTGTACTCACAATTTATAAAATAATTACAATAAACATTAAATTAGTATAGAGTATTGCCTTCCCAAAATAACCATAAGGGCTAAAAAGAATGGGCAGTAGGTTACATTTGCCCCCAGTCGTAGGTTACATTTTTTATTTAGTTGGGACTTGCCCGGACCCTCACCCATCAGCAAGTGGGAATAAAAAGTTGCTTGCCCATCGGGAAAATCAACTATTCTCGGATGACCAGATGGCAATTTTTTTCAAGTTTTACTGTTCATTGCAATTAAATACTTTTTGATAAAATTAAAAATGCATATCAACTTACTGGACTTTGTGCTATTGCTCTGAGGTACTCTTCTAGTTTTATTACTATTGGTCCCTTCTTATATAACTCTTCCTTAGTTGCTGCAAAAGAAAAATATTCTATTATAACACACCATCAGAGGTTTCATCAAGGGCTGGGTGCCAGGCAAAAATTAACTGGCTGTGAACAAGGGACGGACAAGGGTGGAGTCACCAGATAAAGGTACAGGAAGCGGGAGGGCAGGGTACTTGATGCAGAGGTTCTGACCCCCCTATCCGCCTCACTATACAATGACCTTCTGTAGGCAATTAAATGGTACTGATTTTGTGCTTCAAATTGCAGGAAAATTCATCCCTGCAAGTCTAGGATTTCAAAATTTTCACAGGGGGAAATGCCCCCAGAGCCTTCTATTTTTTCTGCCTGGTTGTCAAACACGGCTGCCTGCCTGCTGCCAGACTTCCATGCTCCTAGCTACCTTTCAAAGAAGGAGAAAAAAAAAAACAAAAAAACAGTAGACTCTCCTATTGTTACCCCCCAATCTACAAGCAATGTGTGGGGATGTCTTGGTAAAGTTCTCAGCCTCAGACTTGAAAAGTTGCATAACATTGGGCTGCTCACATAATAATTGGATCTGACTGGAGTGCTGGATCTTCTCAGTTTCTTCGTGACCTTTACTGGCCAAGTTTAGGTGACAGACATAATATTTACCAGTTTAAGATGATGGATGACATATAAAACTATGAAGTGGAACTGTTATGTTACAATTTAATTGCCATGTCACTTTTTTGTTACTTAGTCAGTTAGTCACTCAGTTTCCCAGTAAATTCCTTACGACAGCGATATCACATTTGAATTGTTGAAGCTTAACCTTATCGTAACAAAATTTTCAAATACAGTGTGGGGCCCAGTTCTCGGCCGGGCCCAGTTCTCGGCCACTTTTTGTTCAACGTTTATTTTTCGCACCACAAATGAATCTGAATAAAAAGCACTTGTTTCTAAAGGTAGCTTGATTCCTTTTCTTCTGTTCTGTCCAGTTTTGTTTTGTCCTGCCGAGTTTTTCTGTGAGCACGTCGAGGTGACACGCAGGTAGGTGAATTTGGTTTCCCCGTAAACATGTTTGTTTACGGCTTCTCGAATTACATGGTTTATTTCAAGTTTATATTTTGTCCGTCTAGAAAGCCCAAATGAGCCAATTCTTGGCTTAAAGGGTGTAGAGTGA